TTGTAGGAAAACTCTACAAGAGGCAGGTAGGAGTCATAGCTCCCACCAAAATTGATAACACAGGCCTGTTGTTGGATTAGTGTCTAAGTCCATAACTATATTTGGTATGTACTTGACCCCATTGTTGCATGGTCCTTTTGGGTTGCGTTCACCAAAGCAACTTGACAGGATGATTTATGAAGATAGAGGATATTATGGTTTATTAATATATTATATGAATAATATATTAAAAGAGAAATCATATTGTTTAATTAATATTGGTTAAGAATTAATTAAGAATTAATTTTGTGGCTGAAAGAGATTAATTAAATAAAGGGGACTGGAATTGCAATTATAAGATAATTGATTTTGGGTTGTGGATCTTGTGGATTAAGGAGTGGAGGAAATTAGGGTGGAAGTCCAGCTTTAAATCGCCCAAGGGCCCTATTCCAGAAGGTTCTTGGAGCTTCTTAGGGCCTAAGCTATCCAATTAGGGTTTTGACTGAAACCCTAGTAGCTCAACTATTTAAGGACCCCTAGGGCTTCATATTTCGGCTACCCGAAGAAACCCTAGAGTTCTTAGAGCCGAAATTGTGCCTCCATTCCCTCTCTTCTCCATCATCTTCTTGCCTTGGTGTTTGTGAGCCATTAGAGCTATTTCAGTTGTGATACTAAGCTCTTGAAGATTGAGGATTCTTGCTACTATCAAAAGGTAATCATCTAGACTTGTTTTAGTTATAGATTTCGATTTTTATAGTATGCTAGATTAGGGTTTGCAAGCTTTGGATAAATTTGCATGTACAATAGAGAAACCTAGATCCAAAGCTTTAGGGTTTTGCATGTACACATAGGAATGTTCTTTTGCTCAAAACCCATAAGTGGTATTAGAGCATTGCTTGGTTTCTATTGTATTTGATGCATTGTGTGTTTATTAATTGCTTGAAATATAAAATTTTGCCTTCTTCCTAACAGACTCGTCGAGTACCCAGATGAACTCGACGAGTCAAATGAACTCAACGAGTCCAAATGGGGGCTCGGCGAGTCAGACTGTCAGACAGATGGATTTTCGGGATTTTGGCTTATATTGACTTGGGATAATTACCAAAAATGTTTTTAATTAATAAAATCCGATTTTTATTGATTCCATGTGATTATCTTAGTCAAAATAAAAGATATTTATCATTTAATTAGATAATTATTGCCTTATTTGATAAACCCTAATTATTTGAATTATTTGATCAATTATCTTGCATGAAATTGGATTAGGTCAAAATTAGATAATCACCAATTAATTGTTTAATTATATTATTTGAATTTTGATCTAGATAGTTTTGAAATGTTTCATAACTTGCCCTCAAGTTTTGGAATTAAAATTTTTTGATTAAAAGTTTAATTTTGAAATAATTAAATCCCAAACCCTAGAATTTTACAAATTTAAAATTCATCCCTATACTATTATAATATTATAAGAATAATTATTATATATGTATAAGATAAATGCTAATCTTATCGTTAGTAGGCCTCATTCACCAAGCCGATCTATAAGGGGGGTATAAGGTTGCTGCCTATAAAATGACAGTTTAATGGGTGTCGACTCTCACCCACCGCTTCCTTGATTGGTGGAGGGTCGTTAGCCGAACGGGTAGGATAGGGCAACTAATTACTCATTAAAAGTATAATGATTAATAAAGTAACTAAATGTTTTTATAAAATTCTCAATCTTAGTTACTTTAGGAAAAATGTGAATTTGATGTTATTCCATGAAATTACACTTTGTACCTTTGTCAAGACGTTAGTGGAGCGTGTGTGGTTAACCGGCACACTAATTTGGGTATAGCAAAGTTGGCAAAGGGTGACTCGATGTTTTTCATAGATCAATGGAGCATGTGTGGCTAACCAGCACATTGATTACGTGACTGTAACATTCAGGGCACCAAGTACATTTGCATGGTTATTCACACCTTGTTTGTGATCCTCGGTATCCCAGTCACAAACTTGAAGGGCATATCGAGATTTAAACATGCCATTGAAAAGTTCAATGAATCTTAAAAGATCTAGGAGTTTTCAATACATTTAAAACTTAATTTCCTTTTGTTTTTCATGGTGGAAATTAGTGAATCGTCATTCACTTACCTTCAAATTATTTTCTGTTTAGATTACGGCATCCCTTTTCTAAATTGCAAATAATGTTGTTGGATCCTAGCCCTAATTTCTCATTTAGGTGTTTAATTGGGGATTCTTATCTAATCAAACTTTGTCTCTTTTCCTTTTCAGATGTCTAACTCGAACAACAACAACGCTTGAGGCTCAACCTCTTCTGGCTCGTTCTAACTCATGAATTTGTGTGGGAGGGTAATTTTTTATGGGACCAATTTTAATGATTGGATCCGCAACATCCGAATGGTTACCCGCTATGAGGACAAGTAGTATGTCCTCGACAAGGAGCTGAAGGAGGTGAATCTAAACACTGCTACTCCCGAGGAGATCGCTTCCTTTGAGGCCCACGAGCGAGATGCTACAAAAGTCGATTGCATCATGCTCGCGACTATAACTGTAGAACTCCAAAAGTCCTACGAGGACTACTATCCATATGAGATGCACCAGGATTTGTTGGAAAGGTACCACCAAAGTGCCAGGCAGGAGAGGTACGAGATCATCACTTCGATGATCACGACCAAGATGAGGGACGGAGAGTCTGTCACTGCTCATCTGCAGAAGATGCAGAGATATGTTGACCGTCTGCTGAAGTTAAATGTTAACTTTGATGAAGAGTTGGTGATTGATATCATTCTTCACTCATTGCCACCGTGTTTCAACTAGTTTCACATGACCTACCACATGAACAAAGAGGAGATCAGCTTAAGCAAGCTTCAAGGCTTGTTGAGGACTGCTAAGAGCAAGCTCAAGGATAAATTTGTTGCATCAACTCCCGCTACAGGTGCCCCCGTCTTGGCTATTGGGTAGGGGAAGGGTAAGAAGAGGAAGACTCCTTCAAAGAGCCACCATAAGGGAAAATCCCATGATGACACCTCTTCTAGTGGAACCAAGGCTGGTCCCGCTACACCCATCACCAACCCAAAGGATGCAGAGTGTTACTACTGCCATGAGAAGGGGCATTGGAAACGAAGCTGCCCGAAATATCTGCAAGATATCATGGATGGGAAGATCAAGCCGTCCTTCGCAGGTATTTATACTATTGAATCTAATAACTCATCGCATGCTATTTCTTGGGTTCTTGATACAGGATGTGGTTTTCACATTTGTTCTTATTTGCAGGGCCTAAGAAGAAATAGGGATGTGGAGCATGGGAAGATAAACTTGATCATGGGGAACAGAAGATTGTCGATTGTCACCAAGATTGGAGTTTACACTTTAGTGCTTGGTAGTGGGTTAGGACTAGAGTTGAATAATTGTTGCTATTCGCCATAAATGGCAAGAAACGTCATTTCTTTTCATGGTTTGTATAGACAAGGATTTAGATTTTCGTTTGATAAGGAAAAAGGTTTTATGAATGCTTTTCTTAATGGTGTTTTCTATTTTGAAGCATTGCCTTGTAATGGAATATATGAAACTGTGATGGTTGTAGAAAACTTAGGAAATGATGTGTTGCATATTGACTCTTTCAATAGTTTGGACAAAGCATGCTTGTGGCATTGTCGTCTTGGACATGTCAACAAGAAATGCATAGCCCAACTCCAAAAGGATGGAGTGTTGGAGGCATTCGACCTTAGGGACGATGACGTGTGCGATTCTTGTTTACTTGGAAATATGACCAAGTCACCCTTTACTTGTTCTTGTGAAAGGGGTGAGGGTTTATTGGATCTCATACACACCGATGTGTGTGGGCCCTTTAGATCCACCACATGGGATGCAAGCCGCTTCTATGTGACTTTCACCGATGATTATAGTAGATATGGGTATATCTACTTAATCAAGCACAAGTCATAAACCTTTGAAAAGTCCAAAGAGTTTAAGCAGGAAGTGGAGAATCATCTGGGCAGGAAAATCAAGATGCTTCGATCCGATCGAGGTGGAGAGTACCTTCGTCTTGAATTCCACGACTACCTCAAGGAATGCGGAATCCTTTCGCAATTGACGCCACCTAGGACACCGCAGTTGAATGGTGTGGCTGAGAGGCGTAATCGAACCTTGCTAGACATGGTTCGTTCCATGATGAGTCGTGCTTCGCTACCTATCTCATTCTGGGGGTATGCTTTAGAGACTGCCGCCCATATCCTTAACTTTGTCCCTACAAAGAAGGTTGTCAAAACACCTCACGAGATGTGGACAGGGAAAGCTCCCTCGTTGGCACATATCAAGGTTTGGGGTTGCGAGGATTTCATAAGACGAGAGACTCACAACAAGCTCGAACCTCGTAGTGAGCGGCGTATTTTCATCGGCTATCCGCAGAAGTCCTTTGGATATCTCTTCTATAGACCGAGTGACAATGTTGTCTTCGGTGTGAGGAGAGGGGTTTTCCGAGAGCGAGAACTCATAGGCTAAGGGGACAGTGGGAGGCAAATTGATCTTGAAGATCTTCAAGAATCGAACGATGAAGGAACCTCTAACACTGGCACTCAACCTAAGGAGGAAACTCCTGGTGAACCGATTGACGAGTCCTTACCTCTTAGACGGTCCAGTAGAGTTAGTGTTCCACCTGTGTTGTATGGTTTTCATATAACAAGTGAAGGTGATATGTTTATTAGTGATAGTACACTAATAAATTTGGATGAACCTAACAGCTACAAGGAAGCCATGGCAGACCCAGAGTCTGCGAAATAGAAAGAGGATATGGACAGCGAGATTCAGTCCATGTATGACAACCAAGTTTGGAATTTGGTTAACAATGTGCCAGTCGTAAGACGGTCGGGTGCAAGTGGATCTTCAAGAAGAAGACCGACATGGATGGGAAGGTACACACTTATAAGGTGTGATTGGTTGCAAAGGGATTTACTCAAACTCCCGGAGTTGACTATGATGAGACCTTCTCACCAGTTGCGAAGATATAGTCTATTAGGGTGATGCTAGCCATTGCTGCATTTCATGACTATGAAATATGGAAGATGGATGTCAAAACCACTTTCCTTAATGGGAAGTTGGGTGAGGATGTTTACATGAGTCAGCCAGAGGGTTTTGTCGATGCGAGGCATCCTAATAGAGTGTGTAAGCTTGAGAAATCCATTTATGGATTGAAAAAAGCATCTCGCAGATGGAATCTTTGTTTCGATGAGAAAGTCAAAGAGTTTGGTTTTCTGCGAAGCAAGGATGAGTCATGTGTATATGTCAAAGCCAGTGGGAGTATAGTCAGCTTCCTCGTATTGTATGTCGATGACATACTACTCATAGGAAACGACATCCCGACCCTGCAGGAAGTTAAGTCCTGGCTTGGGAAGTGTTTCACTATGAAGGACCTTGGAGAGGTTGCCTATATTCTGGGAATAAGGATAGTGAGAAACATGTGTAAAAGACTAATAGGACTTAGTCAGAATACTTACTTGGACAAGGTACTAAAGCGTTTTAGTATGGAGAGTTCCAAGAAAGGGGAGTTACCGATCCAAAGCAATGCCAAGTTGTGTAAGACTCAAAGTCCGAGTACCGAAGTCACGATAGCAGAGTTAAGCCGAGTACCTTACGCTTCCGCAGTTGGCTCGATCATGTATGCTATCACTTGTACTCGCCCTGATGTGGCCTTCGCTTTGAGCATGGTCAGCAGTTATCAAGGGAACCCTGGCAGAGCACATTGGACCGCGGTCAAGAATATTCTTAAGTACCTTCGGAGGACCAAGGAATGCTTTCTAGTCCTCGGTGGGAGTGATGACTTAAGGGTGCGAGGGTATAGTGACGCCATTTTTCAGACTGACCGGGACAACTACCATTCTCAGTCGGGTTGGGTCTTTACCCTAAATGGAGGAGCAGTGACTTTGAAAAGTTCCAAGCAAGAGACCGTAGCTGATTCAACGTGCGAATCAGAGTATATAGAGGCGAGCGAAGTATCAAAGGAGGCGATATGGTTGAAGAACTTCATTTGAGACCTTGGAGTTGTGCCAGCCATAAAGGAGCCCATGGAAATTTTCTGTGATAATGAAGGAGCGGTTGCCTTGACCAAGGAACCGAGGGATCATGGCAGATCTCGACATATCGACAGGAAATATCACTTTATTAGACATCAGGTAGAAGAGGGACTCCTCGTAGTGAAGAGGGTATCGTTAGAGGATAACCCAGCAAATCCCCTTAAGAAGGGACTGAGTAGGGTTAAGCACTAGCAGCATGCTAGGAGCATTAGGCCGAAGAACAATATTAGTTTAGATTAGATAGTTTCGAAACGTGTAATAGATAAATTGTAATTAACATTTGATGATTAAATAAAGGTGTATTATTTATGAGTAAAGTTACTATCTTGTGTTAATTATTTACCTATTGTTTCAATTTGCATATTTTGACTTCCTGAATAATAAGATTAATCGAACAGTCCACAGTCGCTCATACTTTGGAAGTAGGTGTCAAAGAAGACTGTCATGAATTGGTTTGTAGACTGTCTAAAGTATATTAAACATAGAAAAATTTTGATGCATCGTTCATGAGTGCTTATGAAATAAGATTTGAGCATTGGATTAAACCCACGCTTGCTAGCATCACTTCATGTAATTTATCACGAGTGAGCGCAAGACGATAATATCATATACTTTTTAAACCTAGATATATGGTTTATTGTTTGCAAGTTGGTTGTGCATTGATAATGTGTAAACGCATCAGTAACTTGATGTTATAAAACACATTGTTGTGCATGATTTGATGAGTGAATAGTAAATGCATATAAGTCGAAGTTTATTTGTTCCTTTTATCCTAAGAGGGTAAAAGCGATATTTGCGCCTCTCGATGATCTGGTTTGACTTATGTGTCGGGCCCGGTCAGGACTGAATTGATGTCTTCAATTAAGTTCTATGTCAAAAAAATCAGAGATCGAGAAACAAACTGCAGGACAATAAGTATGACTATGTTCCATGTAATTGTCCGCACGATATCTTGAACGGAAGACTGTATGATCCCTTATCTAAAGGACAGGTTACTGATGAGATCAGTGTTCGACAGCGGTTTTCGAGAGCGACGATTGCTAATCAGATCCTAAAGTCATACTTGCATTTATAGTTATTAGACTTATCTAAGTGGGAGACTGTTGAATTAGTGTCTAAGTCCATAACTATATTTGGTATGTACTTGACCCGGTTGTTGCATGGTCCTTTTAGGTTGCATTCACCAAAGCAACTTGACAGGATGATTTATGAAGAGAGAGGATATTATGGTTTATTAATATATTATATGAATAATATATTAAAAGAGAAATCATATTGTTTAATTAATATTGGTCAAGAATTAAATAAGAATTAATTTTGTGGCTGAAAGAGATTAATTAAATAAAGTGGAATTGAATTGCAATTATAAGATAATTGATATTGGATTGTGGATCTTGTGGAGTAAGGAGTGGACGAAATTAGGGTGGAAGCCCACCTTGAAATAGTCCAAGGGCCCTATTCTAGAAGGTTCTTGGAGCTGCTTAGGGCCTAAGCTATCCAATTAGGGTTTCGACTGAAACCCTAGCAGCTCAGCTATTTAAGGACCCCTAGGGCTTCATATTTCGGCTACCAGAAGAAACCCTAGAGTTCTTATAGACGAAATTGTGCCTCCATTCCCTCTCTTCTCATTCATCTTGTTGCCTTGGTGTTTGTGAGCCATTAGAGGTATTACAATTGTGATACTAAGCTCTTGAAGATTGAGGATTCTTGCTACTATCAAAAGGTAATCATCTAGACTTGTTTTAGTTATAGATTTCGATTTTTATTGTATGCTAGATTAGAGTTTGCAAGCTTTGGATTAATTTGCATGTACAATAGAGAAACCTAGATCCAAAGCTTTAGGGTTTTGCATGTGCACATAGGAATGTTCTTTTGATCAAAACCCATCACCTGCAAAATATCCTCAAGGGTCTGTATCGTCCATTCACTATGGCCGTCGGTTTGCAGATGATAAGCAGTGCTGAAGTGCAACCTCGTACCCAGTTCCTCATGGAACTTTTGCCAGAAATGGGAACCCCATTTCTAAAACAAAGGAGACCGGAACCCCATGGCGAGCAACGATATCGCGAACATACACATCGGCCAACTTCTCGGCCGAAGCACTCTCCCGAATCACCAGAAAGTGGGCACTCTTGGTCAGTTGATCCACGATGACCCAGATAGCATCAAAACCATTTTCCATCTTCGGCAACTTGGTGATAAAATCCAACGAAATCTGCTCCTATTTCCACATGGTAACCTGCAGAGGTTGCAGCATGCCATGCTGCCTTTGATGCTCAGCCTTGACCATCGTGCAGGTCAAGCATCTCTTCACGTACCAGGATATCTCCCTCTTCATACATGGCCACCAATAACTCAATCTAAAATCCCGATACATCTTGGTGGCCCCTAGATGGATAAAAAAACGAGACTTATGAGCCTCCTCCAATACAACCTGCCTAATCCCACCTGAAACTGGAACCCAAACCCGACCACATTGGGTCAGCAGCCCACGACTATCCGTGACGAACCTGTCAATCTTACATATGATCTCTCTTGCTTCTAGTTCTCCTTCCGAACTCCTTCGGCCTGAGCCTACCTGATCAATCCCAAAAGTGGGGAATCAACTGATATCCTCATATAAGCCACCCTATCTGAATACCCGGCCGACTTGCAGCTCAAAGCATCCGCCACTACATTTGCTTTACCCATATGGTAAAGGATCTCGCAATCATAATCCTTAACCACGTCCAGCCGCCTGCGTTGCCTTATGTTCAGGTTCTTCTGATCCATAATATGCCTCAGACTCTTATGATCCGTGTAGATAGTACAACGAACCCCATAAATATAGTGCCTCAAAATCATGTTGGAAAAAACCACTGCCCCTAACTCCACATAATGAGTGGGATATCGCGACTTGTGCGGCTTGAGCTGCCGCGAAGCATAAGCTATCACTCGTATTCTCTGCATGAGAACCGCCCCCAAACTAGTGATGGATGCATCACAGAATACCATGAAATCCTTAACCCTCTATGGAAGGGTCAATATCGGGGCCTCATATAACCTCTGCCTAAGGGTCTCAAATGCGGACTGCTGCTTAGGGCCCCACCGGAAATCCACCCCCTTCCTCGTCAGACGAGTGAGGGGTACTGCAATCTTGGAGAAATCCTGAATGAATCTCCAATAGTAATCTACCAAACCCAAGAAACACCTGATATCCGAGGGAGATTCAGAACCTCCCGTTGCATCACTGCCTCAATCTTTGCCGGATCGACCAATATCCCATCCCTGTTAACGAGGTGTCCAAGGAACTGAACCTCTCGTAACCAAAACTCGCACTTTGAGAACTGAGCATAAAGTCGTTCTCGCTGCAAAACCCCCAGAAGCTCGCGAAGTTGATCCTCATGCTGCTCTCTGGTCTTGGAATATACCAAGATATCATCAATGAAAACAATAAAGGAATGATTGAGCATCGGCCTGCATAATTGATTCATCAAATCCATGAATACTGCAGATGCATTGGTGAGCCCAAATGGCATCACCACGAACTCGTAATGCCCATAACGAGTCCAGAATGTGGTCTTCTCCACGTCCTCCTCCCTCACCCTAACCTGATGATACCCAGACCTCAGATCTATCTTGGAGGACCAAGATGCACCCTTCAATCGATCAAAGAGGTCATCAATCAAACGGAAGCGGATAACGGTTCTTCAACGTTAGCTTGTTCAACTCCTGGTAATAAATGCACATTCGGTGTGAACCATCCTTCTTCTTGACGAACAAAATCGGTGCTCCCCACGGAGAGTTGCTCGGTCTGATGAACTGATTGCCTAGAAGCTCCTGCAGCTGAGATGACAACTTATGTATCTCAGGCGGTGCCAAGCAATACGACACCTTGGCAATAGGGGCCGCACCTGGCACAAGGTCGATCCTGAACTTGACCTGCCTCTCGGGAGGCACACCGGGTAACTCCTCCGGAAATACATCTGCAAACTCCCTTATAACCAGGACCTCTAAAACTGAAGTCTGACCCCCAAACACACGTATCCACCACATAAGCCAAGTAGTCTACACACCCATGCTGAATATACTACCAAGACCTGACTGCATAACAAAATCCGGAATCCTATCTTAGTGCCCTTTCCATAGATAATCAGTTCTCCCCCACTTGGGGTTCGAACTACCACGCGTTGGCCCCCACAATAAATTGTAGCATCGAACCAACTCAGCTAATACATACACACAATCACGCTAATATCCCCCATGGGGATAGGAATCAGATCGATTGGATACGGCACCCCGAAGATCTCCAAAACACAACCCTGGTATACTGATGATGCAGAAACCCCGTGTTTGTTGGCGATAGAAACTCGCAAAGGACACTCCAACTCCCCAATAGGCATATCAAACTCCCTACTGAACGATCGAGATACAAAGGACCGACTTGCACCCGAGTTAAACAACACTAGAGCAGGCAAATAGTTCACTAGGAACGTACCTAACAGAGGCACAATAATAAGCATAACATAAAACATAATCAACAAGATAACAGATAGAAACATACTAGTCACAACATCTGGAGCTGCTCTAGCCTCCTCGGCAGTGAGCTGAAAAGCATGACCCCGAGCCCTCGGGGGCTCCGCCTTCCCGTGGAGCCCATCTGCGATCATCAAATTAGCTGGCGTGGGGGCCTGCGCCGACTTGTCGGCGAGCAATGGACAGTTGACCTTCACATGGCCAACCTGTTCACAATGATAGCAGATCCTGGTACTCAGAACAGGGGCCAACTGCCAGAATCCCTCGCACAGTGCCCCTCCCTGCCACATTTGTGGCACACACCTCCTGATCGACAAGCCCAACCATAAACCTTACCGCACTTCCCACAAGTGCGGCCTCGCTGACCCCCCAGATCTAGAATCAGCAGCCTTGAACCGCTTCGACGCCAGATGCTACTTTATCGGGGTCAGTCTCTGCTCTCT